CCATCCCAGCCGCCATCGCAGCCGCCTTCCGGGGCGGGACTGAGGAGGCACGTGTGGAACGCTCGTTTGTATACAAAGGATTTGGTTTATTTTAGTTTTTTTTAAAAGAGGAGAACAATATAAATCCTACTGCGGACGGACGAGCACAGAAAGGCAGCAGGGGATGGTGCTTCCCCAGCCAGGGAGGGGCAGAGAACGCTGACAGGAGGTGAAAAGCCCAGGAACAAGACAGGTGGGTGTGCTGAGGGACGTTTGTAAAGACAGAACACAGTAATGACAAATAAAACGCACAGGAGATGACAGGTTTGTGGTCTAAGACAAATTCGCCTCAGTCTTATCTCTAGAGTGCTAATAAGTGGCAGTTCTGAGCTCTGCTGTTGTCTACAGGGAAAAAAAAAGTTCCCCAGCTTAAGGCCTACAGAAAAAACACTCCTCAGTTTAAGGTCTAGAGGAAATAAAACAAAACACAAACCTCCCCAGTTTAAGGCCTACAGAAAAAAATGCAACTCTCCCCAGTTCAAAGTTTTTCACTTCTATAGCTCCAGTGGAAACAAATCTGCAAGTTTGAAATTAATGGATAACCTGGGGGACACACTTCCCCTCAGCCAAAAATGCCAGAGAAACTCACTGGCTATCCTGCCTTCTACTTGACACACATCTTTCTTTTGGTCCTTTGTGCCCCATTGGTTGTGGGTGAAAGCAGTACTGTATGAAGTAGCCAAAAATGGAACAACTGTAAAAAAGCTAAACAGTGTTACATATTGGTATATAAATCCCTGTTTTATATTCCACTAATAGAAGTCTCAGTTACTTGCAATAAATCTTAAGTGCTGCAATAAATAAGCTGTTGCTATACTTTTAAAACATTCTGATCTTGTTTCTTAACATTTCTAATTTCTGTTTGATAAGAAAATGGTTGGGAGATACTTACAGATTCCTATATCAGCATTGTAGGAAATTCTAAGTTTATACTGGGGAGAAAAAGGTGGTTTTAAAAAGCATTTAATCATCAAAAAAATACAAAGTCACAAGTTATTTATAGTATTAATTACAAGTCTACTACTAAATTCACATTCATGCTTTATTGAACAATCTTCAATATAAAATTATTTTTAAGGAACCCATAGGATTTTTTCAATGTTTAGATTAAAAAAAAAAAAAATAACCACCAAAAACCAAACAAGAAACCCACTCACAGAGAAATTTTGCTTTTTAAAATTCTGCTCTGGTAGAAAAACATCGTTTCAGAAGAGGTAGGAAGCTGAATAAAAGCAGAAAAGGAAACAAGAATCCAGGTGTGTTCCCAGTGAGAAAGGTTTTCCTTGGTAAGGGATGCAAGTTTCAGGGAAGTATCTTCTGGCTCCTATGTAAAATCAATTTTTGAAAAATTATAAGATATTAATAAGTCATTTGAAGCTGCCCACATAGCTGGAATAAAAAGTCTTTACTAGTTATCACCAGCAAAAAATCCAGAAAATAACTGGTTATTCCAGGACCAGAGGAAAAGTCAAGTTTGACAACTGGCCTTTGGGTATTCTGTCTGCTTTAAAAATACAGCTCTGGGGTTTTCTCTGGGTCGTTATAACTGCTCATGGTGTCTACACAAGTCACATTTCCTTGACTCTTTCAGAAATGCATTTTCAACTCGTAGTTTTTCAGTCTCCTGTAAAACAGAAAAAAACACAGGTGTATATTAAAGGAAATGATACTCACTTCTCTCATACTTCTTAATAATTGATATCTACACTTGAATAGGGGCTTTATACACCATGTCCTTGAGGAAATAAAATGGGATGATCCTTTTCTGGGGCCTGTGAGGAGGCAGACCAGCCATGACCTACACAATTGCATAAAATCAGAGGTATTACCTATTACTCTGCAACAGAACAGCAGGCATGGAAATGATTAAGAAATATGAGAGAAGTGAGTATAAGTGATATCTACACTTGAATAGGGGCTTTATACACCATGTCCTTGAGGAAATAAAATGGGATGATCCTTTTCTGGGGCCTGTGAGGAGGCAGACCAGCCATGACCTACACAATTGCATAAAATCAGAGGTATTACCTATTACTCTGCAACAGAACAGCAGGCATTTTAATTTTCCTTCTCAAAGCTTAGCTCTTTTCTATGTCAGGCCATTACCTCATCCATCTTCTGCTCTCCAACTCACCTCAGCAAGCTTAGCGTAATCTTTCTTCAGTTTCACAAGATACTGAATCCTCTGGTTTAGGTTTTGATGACCAATCAATTTCCCATTCTCCTCAGCAAGAAAGTCAACTTGCTTTCTCAGCAGGTCCACTTCCTGTAATTAATAAATACATTGTGTACCTCAGCCATAGCCCCTCCTCCTTTTCAGAAAAAACAGCTTCTTTAGGACTGTCAACACACTCAAGTTTAAGTTTGTTGTAACATGATGCAAGAGTTGGTTCATTCAGGAAATAGGTATTAGGCACTACGTTAGATCCTCCTAAAAAAGGGAAAAACCCCAAACCCTGCACTATTCCATTTGTATTCTGAATGACAGCAGTGATTTCTGAACCCAAGTTCCACTACTGCAGGGAACAGCATGACAAACAACTAAAGTACAAGACAACCTTTTCAGAGGCAGTGTTTGATTGCTTATTAATTCAGAATATTATCCAATTAGCAACAGCTCTAACTCTGCTGATTAAGATTCTACTTGTAAAGACAACAAAAATATTGTGCATCTATAACCTTTCCAATTCTGTCTCTCTCCTCATACGTTTCCTCCAGTTTTGATCTAATTTCTTCTTTTTCATGAAATGCTTTCAGCTCCAAAGCTCGTGTTCGTTCCATCTCCAGAGTAATTTCAAGACAAGTATTCTCTTTGATTTTGAGGGTATTTTTGGTCTCTTCTAATCTGCCAATATAAAAAAGAATCATGAAATATTAAAACCCAACAAAAATGGTGTACAACTGAATTACTGCATCAGCCTTTGACACGGAGGCAGGCTCCTTTAAAACTACCCTTTTGAGACAATACATTTTACATTTTACCTAGAATTCAGTGCTAGAAGGAAAAATGTCATTAAAAATTTGAAAAGCCAACGCATCAAATAGGAAAACAACTCCTAATGGAGATGAGGGTTTCTGGAGGAATTTGGAAATGACCGTGGGCACAAAAACTATCTTCATCCTTAAAAGAAATTATTGACATGAAAACATACTATAAACAACTATAAGTAACTCAAATATTAAGAGATTCGTGTCAGTGAACCCTGAAGCAATAGAGATGAGGAGGAGAATAGCAGGAGCAACATTTCCAAACCAATTTTTAAATCTGCCAATTCATTATTTTATTTCTTGCTTACTATCCAAGGTACAAAACACTTGAATTTTGAGAACTACTTGCACAAACACAATCTAGGGATCCTTTAATAATAAAAAAATTTAATTAATTCAAGCTGAAGTGCAAAAATTTAAACAAATAGGATAACCCCCAAATAATTAGACTAGGTTAAATATTTTTAAATTATGTAAACAATTACATGCATAATTAAAATATATTAATAAAGAAATGAACAGTATTTCAATTTAATTTGAAAAGAAACATGCTGAGAACTCACTGCACATAACAGAATTCAAAACAGATAATTTTAAACAATTAAAAAAGTCCCTTCCAATTTATGTTTTTCTCCAAGTCCACCTATTTCAGAGAACTGCCCTGACATAAGGGCTACCCCCTTTTAGAACATGTAGTAATAGGTGCTACCACCACCTACTGATGAGGAGGAGTAAGAACTCCATGTGTATTGCAGAAGTGTAAAAAACATTTCCAAATTCCATCATTGGTAGTTTCAGATCTTGGACTTTGCTTAAATGTATTAAACTCATCGATACCAAAAACATACAAATCTCCAGTTCAGTGGACAAATAAAACTTACTCTGCTTTGATTTTCAGCATCTCCTCCACAGCTTTATTCTGAAAAAGTTAAAAAAAAAAAAGGTTATATTCTTCGTTTAATATTAATATATATAAAATTGTCATTTAATTGATGCTACTAGCAAGTGACATCATCTTCACTGTCCAGCTCTGCAGAGAGGAGTCAGATTTCGTGATCTGAATCTGTTGTTGTTTATTGAGTGACCTGACACCCAGTTCATTGGTGAGAGACCAAGTGAGAAGCCTTCAGGGGCAAGACTCAGGCTGTGCCTGTTGGGGTTCACCAGAAACCAGCCTCGTGTCACTGCTGGGAAGCAGAAAACACGTCAGCACTTCACAGCAGGGAGGCAGCAAGCGGCACGAGGGGGGTCCTGTACCTTGGCCAGCCGTTCCTCAGCAATCTCCTCCTCTTTCTCTCTGAGGTACTCCACGTCGGGATGTTTTGGGTCACTAGGAAATCCAAGAATGAGGAAAGTTTCCCACAAAGAGAGGAAACCAGTTGTCAAAACATCTTATCCAGATTAACGCGGCCGTGCTCAGAATAGTGAGCATCATGAAACCACTCTGGGAGGGGTTCAGCTTTATTCCAAGAAAATCACATCTTCCCTTGTCAGAGCACACACTGTGCATTCAATTATTTTATATTCCATCTCCAGGAGAGAACTTGGCTGTATTTAAAATTTGTGATTTAAAGGCAATGAAGTTTACAAGCCAGCAAACAATTTTCATAGAAAAGGCTGAGTCAGTCTCTGATTATATGAACAATATGTAAGGCTGTATTAAAAAAAAAAACCACAAATTTCTTAGTTTCATTTTTAAGTTTTCCTGTATTTTACTTTACCTGTTCTTGCTGAGTCTTTGAGCTTCTACAAGGCTCTGTAAATTCCTGTTGTTCTCCACCAGTATCTGCATCTCCAGGCGCAAGTTCTCCAGCTCACTCAATTGCTCCTAAGCAAGTGAAATTCAATTTTATTTGAAGGCCAACTCACAGTTCCCATTTTCATTTCCAGTTGAACATGTTTTTGAGTGAAACAGACAAAATGCTTGCTCAGAAAACAAGCAGAGTTCTCTGGCAGAGAACTATCTGCATCACCCTTCCATTTATGGCTTTGTTAGAAATCTGATTTTGACTAAGATAGAACAGTTTGATGAGCAAAAGTGATGTCACCATTTGATATTCATGAACATGAAACAACCCAGTCCTTGGGAAAATGAGATACATGGACATCTCAACTGAGTTGTCACCAGTAGTCACCAGCTTAGGTAAAGACCACCACAAACCGTCTCCCTGCTTTAATGGGCAGACTACTGGGCAGAGCTCATGAAAAACTTGAGCTCTGTACTCTGTCTTAACCCAACTGCCTGCAGAGATTAACTCCTAGTACCTTCAGCCTTAGGATTTCATAGTTTTTAGCTCTCCTCTCCTCGTTCAGTTCATGGACAAGGTGCTCCAGGTTGATTGCAGAAGCTCTTCGATCAGCTATTTCTTGCTCATGAGTTTCCAACAGCTTTGCCAAGTTCACATCAAAATTAGGAGGAGTTTTTGGACACTGGTAAGATAAAAGGAAAAAAAAAAAACCCACAAACGCAGTAAACAACTGTTTGCCCTATGGATTGGTTACAGTTTTTAATACTTAATTGCAGACACATTAATAAATTCCTGGCAGAAATCATCAGTAATACATTTAAGTTACAGACACTCTTGATAGATTGTCCTTTCACACTGTAAAGCATATTAGCCCTTCTCAGTGAGCTTTAACAGTCATTAGCATGGAAGTGTTTCCCTCACAATTGCCATACCTGAGGAAATGTTACTGATGATGAATCCACAAAGCAATCTATTTGCTTCATTTTTACTTCGTATTCATTCCTCCTCTTCTCCAGTTCTTCTGTCATTTTCTCCAGCTATTAGAAACCCCAAGCAGAATTAAATTAGCTCATAACACACACAAAATATTAAAGAAAACAGCAGCCAGATCTCTGCTTTGAGCAAGCTCAAGTACACCACAGTTTATTTTGGATTACCTTAGACTTTGCTTTCATACCTGTTTTCTATATTTACCTAGTAACTGTTAATAATTCAACAGTTGCATGTTCTGAGCATTTTTTGAAAGCACATATACACTATGTACTGCACAGTTTGGATTTTGTTCTTGTTACTAGTATTTGGGGTTTTTTTATTCCTGGCTAACACCTTTCTAAGGCAACAATCATCTCCATTACAAAATGATATCCTCGGTGGCAAAGTGTTAAGCAGAGGAGAAAGTCATCCCCTAGGTGACACTGTTTATAACCTTGGGTTGCTCTGTTGTAGGCACTGAATTTCAGTCTGTTTTCAGAGTAAACATATTGCAATCTCTAGACACAGTTTCCAAAGCATTTAGGAGTTACCTGCCTCTGTTCAGAAGCTTTTGAACACCTGCTTTGCTTTTAGAGGAAGGAGCGTTGCTCTTTGCCAAAAGCACTGCATACAAGATGCTCTAAAGTTACAATTAAACCCTTTCCCAGAAGCTCCAAGTAACCCCAGCTGGCTGCCAAGTTGCTGACTGTCAGAAGCATGTCCTGGCTCTACCTGTTCCCTGAGTTCCTGGATCAGAGCTTCCTTCCTGGCGATGTCTTCCTGTGCACACTGGAGCAGGGAATCGTGTTTCTTGGAGGCCTCTGTCAGTTGCATCAGCTGATCAGTGGTGTGCTGCAAGTCCTCACACAGAAGTTTTCTCTGGTTTAGGTCATTGGATGAGTGAAGGCAGAAATTGTTAAAGTTACTGCTCTAGAACAGTTGTTTCAAGGCATTTTGCTGTTGTTGCTCAAACTGCTAACAGCTACAAGCATCTCCCTTTTCCCTCCACTTCATCACTGAGCATGCATCTATAAATTTCTTATTTCAGCACTTTCTCCATATCCTTTGCAGAACAAATATGAGACTTTCCTGCAGTATAGTTAGATACTTGTGGGAGATTTTTGGAATGGACTGCTCTTTTAAAGTGTAACCTATACAAATGTTTAAATAGGAAACCAGAAAAGCACGTGTAGGGTTTAATCCATGCTGAATTAGTGATTACAGCTTTTTTAGTGCACTGTTTTCCTGTAGATAGGATTTATCCTAGGATCTAGAGTCCCAGCTTATCTGCTAGGGCATCACACCTACACAACGTGTGTCTGCCTAGAAGGAGAAACAGTACTCAGTGTTTTAAACACCACCTTGGATTAGTTGTTGTGCAGTCAAGAAAGCATGAAGGAAATTAGTAACTGATGTACAAAGCTGAAGGAGGAACATTGTGATTTTACCAGGAGCCAGATACACCCAGGGATAACACTGTAAGAATTGGCACTTCAGTCTGATTTTATTGGTGCTGCCTGGTTGGCCAAAGCATATCTGACAGATGATCTGGTGGAAATTACTTGTAAGGAGAGGCTAGTGGTTTTCACTGAGGGACCAAAATCAAGGTGGGAGCACTAACAGGAAATAGTTTAAAAAAGGTACAGCTTTGAAAAGCAAAACCACAGCTGAATCAACAGCACATCCTAAATCTATTTCCAGCAGGTGGAGCTTTTAGTTAAAATTATGAAGAAAGAAAATGCTGCCAAATAGAGTAGCAGTTGGGAGAGAATGTTAAATGTAATATATTCTTCTATTTTAATTTCTCAGCTGCATCATCTACTGCTGCCATTAAATTCAGCTGATGACTCCTTAGTGGCCTTCACAAAATTAAACCAGGCTTTCAGCATAGGTTTTTATGAAGTAGCTTATAAAATATTTACATCAAATAATGTGATAATTTAACAGCATTTGTCAGGTATCTCATAAAAATTCCTTTAAGAACAGCTTAACTAGCTATAGTTTGATCTAAAATGAGGTTAAGTTTTGCACAAGCATTTTAAGCAAAACCACAACCAATTGGTCTGTTGAATAAATAATCAGAATATACCAACATTCATGTTTTTACCTCATTATTATCAGCTGTTTGTTTTCTCTCCAAGGCTTCCCTCAGTTCTTCAATCTTTGTTTCCTGATCCTCTATGATTGCTTTGCTTTCTTCTTTTGCAGCCAGAGCAAGGTTATACCTGCACTGTGAAAAGCATTAAATGGAATTTTACAATATTTTAGGAAAATCTGTTAAAGCAAGCTGGCAAACATAATACAAATAAGTGTATATCACAAATCTTGTGACAACTACAGACATTTAAAACCTCAGTGTCAGTGACTAAAATGAGAATGAAGCATCATATTTGCCAAATTATACAAACAATGTTATTAGAAATTATTTACAGAAGAATTAAAAAAGATTATTAAATTAATTAATCACTAAGACCTTTATTAAAAAAAATCAGATAACCCTATTTAGAAATCTGCCTCATCTGTAGGACCTTTTGAATTCAGAGTTCACCCATGTATGTTACCTAAAGCATTCTGGGGGTTGCTCTGTCAGTTTGCAAAGCAGACCTACTTTAATAAAGATGCATCATACTTATTTAAATAAACAGTTTTAGTTCTTTATACTTCTTTTCAGACATAGAATGTAGTAAGAGCAGCAACATAAAAACTCGCTCCCTCAAAAATGAGTTTACGGTTCAGCCTCAATTCTAGGCCTTAAATTGCTAATTCCTGAGACAATCTAAAAAAACTCACTCAAAAATGAGTTTACAGTTCAGCCTCAATTCTAGGCCTTAAAATTGCTAATTCCTGAGACAATCTAAATGTTCACTGTCAGCTGAGTGCAGTTTACAGGACATGAATAGGTCCTTGCAGAGACACAGTTCTGCACCCACCTTGTGGAAAGAGCTCAGATTTCAAGACAGCCTTAAGCATAAAACGTTCAGAAGATTTCAACATGTCAAAACAAAGAAGTTCCCTTCTCAAATGCTGCAGCAGTTACACTGCCTGAGACCCGTGGTATGACATGTCACTGCCTTCCATCTCTGAAAGGCTACACCACGTCCTTCAGAAGGACAGAACATACATTTATGTCCTCCAGCTCTCTTGTCAGCCCCTCTATGGACTCAGTTTTATGATTAATTGAAGACCTCAGCTCCTGGATCTGTCTCATCAAGTCAGTGACAACTTCCTGGAAAAAAAAAAAAGTTAATCTTGTTACATCATGTAGATTTTATATATGTTCTGTTAATGGATTTTCTGTGGTGCATCATTTGTCAATACTAAAATTTCAAACAGCCACTTGAAAATGAGGCCTCAAAATGCAGATGTAAAGGAGCAACAGGAAATCTGTTGTTAAATCATTGGCTTTTGTTCTAAGCAGTTCCACAGAGAAGTAAATAACCTGCTGTGTTCATTAGAACAGCAGCCCTCTGATGTAGCCTCAGGCTGTCAGGGGTTTCTAGCAGAACAGAATTGCTGTAGTTTAAGGTTACTTTTGCCTGGAACACCACTGCACTGACAATACCACATTCTTCTCATCTTGTAGATGGCCTGTTCTGGGGTTTAAGCATGGCAAAATGAAGCCTTACCAATGCTTCATGCTGGGCAGTAAAGCACTCTGTGATTTCTTACTCCTGTTTTACATGCAGCACGAATGCTGGTGCTATGGGAGCTTCTGCTGTTTGAGCTTTCAACACACTGGAGAGGTCTCTCCATGTCAAAGTGCTTTGATTTGATTAGTAAAGATACCCAGCCACATCCTTACAGCAGCTTTCTCACCTGTCCTCTCAGCCCCTTACCACACGGCGCTGACTGGGGGCCCTGCTGTCCTCAGGGGAGTTACACCCTGGTTGTGCACTGGGTGTCTGGTCCAGTACACAGCTTTATGCTGTTTTTTTTCTTGTTTAACCTTCCAGTATCTTGTGTTTTCTCTAAACGAATATCAGTTTCCTGCCACCCTGCAGACTCCATGCCAGTAAAAGGCAGAATTGATTTTACCTGGCTAAACAGCCAGGATTGCCTAGAAGCACAGAATTTCTAAGCATTGCAGAGAGGCTCTGGGCTTAATAATCTACTACAGAACACAGTCCCCCACAAAACTGGGAATCAACAACAGCAAGAAGCCCAAACCTTATCTGTATCATTTGTCTTCTTCAAAGAAACAATCATCTCTTCAGCAGCAGCCAGCTCCTGTTGCAATTTCTGCAGTTTTGCTTCCTAGAAGGTATAATAATTGTGAAGAGACTTTATTTTTTTGAAGTAAGTTTCATAAAGCACAAAACCATAAAAAAAAAAAAAAAGAGAAAGGAACTAAGTTATTTACCATACCAGAAAAATTAAGCAGTAGCTTAAGGAAACAATCTGAGCAGTGAGAACTCTACATTTATTTTGGGGGTAATCAACACAACAGTCAGTCCACTGCTCAACTTGCTGTTAAGGCACGAGGAGATCCGTGCACACACAGACTCAGTTCTGCTGTTGTACCTGCTGCTCACACTGGGGCACCAGTTCAGAGGATGGTTTCTCCACCTGTGCTTTTGCAAGTACTTTCAAGAGCTCCCTGGAGAAGAAAACAGGTTTCTAGTCAGAAATATAATCAGAACATAAGAGATTTAACAATAATCAAGCCATATATGTTTATTCTTATTTGCACTTCATTTTTGGAAGTGTTTTTTTTTTAACTACCACCTTCTCAGTGCTATGCAAAGGACTAATAGTTCAGTTATAGGCCATACACTACTGTCAGAAGTGAAAGTTTGTTTGACATGAAGAACTGTACTTGTCATGCTAATTAAATCCATTAAATTGTTGTTCCAAGGTAGATCAAATAAAAAAAAAGCCCACTATGTAATTATCTCCCCCCAGCTTGGAAAAGCCACCTCTACAGACAGGATCCCCACCCCAATACAAAACCTAGCACAGGACAAAACCAGTGAAGACAGATGAAAACAAACCCCACCACTAATTAAAACTTACTTGGAATTGTTTTCTTTGTCTTCTTGTAATTGTAACGTTAGTTTTTCATTATGTTCTTTTTCTGTTTTCAGGAGTTTCAAAAGGTTCTAGAATATCAAAATATATGTTGTTATCACAAGTTACAGCATAAGGTCTGTAGAATAATTTAAATCAAAATAAAAATCTAAACTCCTACAATGACAAAAAAAACCACCAAGCCACAAAACCTTAAATAGAAACAGGAAGATCTTTAGCTTTGCTGCAGACAAGTTCAAAAGCAAACTCTTTTTCATAGGAAGCAATCTGCTCTTTTCACCTGCCAGTGATAATTATTCCCTATAGCTATAACATTCCTCAATATCCAAGGCTTTAAAGGGAGAAATTAGGATGTTCAGCTGTAGGTTTATTTAGGGGGATTTTTCAAATTCTAACCAGCAGTTCAAATATTAGAGTAAGGACTTTAAAATAATTTTCACCCTGTCAGTTTTGCACTAAAAAGGACAACTCTGAGCAAACTTGCTGAGCAGGCACAGGGTACACTGCAGAAGAGGGAGCATTTGCAAAAGCCCTTGAGCAGCCTTCCTGCTGTTCTGCAGCTGCTGCAGCCTGACCAGCTTTCAAGGACAGCATCAGCTACACTGCAGGGCAGGGATCCACCACAAAAAAGCCAGAGATCACTTAACAAGATCATTCACTGTGAAAATCTTTACGAAGCTGCTTGGTAAAGATAAAGTCAGCAACTCTTAGCTAGCACTGAGATGGAAGGTCAGCAGCATTTCCATGTCAGGATTCTTTTCCAAAGCAGTTTCTTATTCTTTTACTAATTAACCCATCTCCCTCAACATTTCCAGAGCAATTTCCTCAGCTGAAAAACCTACTACTTCATCATGGTATTGGATATTTCTCATAGCCTGTGGTTGCAAGAATCTTGCACTAAGTTTTAAAAAGGATTCTGGGTCCATCTTCCAAAGGAAATCACCAGGAAACCTGTCTTTACTGTGGAATCTATTCCAAATAGTGTAATAACAGGAATGAAACAATCTGGCTACGTAAGGAACTGTATAGTCAAGGCTTCTAAAGGACTTTATCATCTTACACAAAGCTCAGTTTTCATTGCTTCTGCTTCTTGTTTTCTGTCCTCAAGTTGTTGCTTCAGTTGATCTGTCTCAAACTTTGCTACTTCCTGCAAGTTGTCATAGTCATCCTGCAGGCTGGCCTTTTCTTCAAGAATCTTTTCATGCTCCAGCCTTTATAAAAACAAAAAAGAACAAACCAACCCAAATCCACCCACATTATTAAGGTAAGGGATTGTTTCATTCTAAAAATGTTCAAATCAATTGGATTTTATGATCTACAGATAATACAGAGTGCAGTTATTACAGAAAAGTGTCACAAAAATGGTAACTTTTAATTTAAACTGAGAACCCCCAAATTTATGAAGGGCAGAGAAGTTTCGGTGGCATTGGCAGAGAGGGCAGAGTACTCCTGATCCCCAGAAATCATTTCCTACTTACAAAATCATAGAAATTCAAATCACTGTGTCTGTATAATGACCTTCAGACATGTTTCTTACACCAGGGGATTTTTTTTTTTTTAAGCCAGTTGGGCAAAATTTAAACTTTCCAGGGAAAAGGGGGGGGAAAAAAAAGCAAACACCACACCCCCCCAAACCTAAACCACAAAACCAAACCCAGCATAACTAAGTTGTGCTAATGATTAAAAAAGCACACTGATTTTCACCTCCCAGTAATAGTGGCAGGGATTGCACCCAGCATAGTGAGCTTTTCAGGCTTCAACAGAAAAACCTCAGTTTATTTTTATGGTTTCTCTCTGCTTGTAGCTTTAGAGCATCATTGTTCTGTCACCTGCTTAGTGTGACCAGACTGAGAAGTAACAGTTAATTTTTAAGGCTAAATTGGAAAAAGAAAAATTCAACAACCTCTGCCCCTTCAACCACAACTTTTGGAGATCACTAATTTTATAGTTATATCCTTGTCATGGTTACAGGGGCTGGGACCAGTGTATCCTTATGTGGGTAGAACCAAAACTGTATATTCTATACTCTCTATGTCAGTGCTCATGGGCTGTTAAGAAAATCATGGGTAGCAGCTGCCCAGGACAGACCTCACACCCCAGGCTATAACAGATAAGGAAAGAAGTTCAAGGTCAGGGGAGATGTTAACACCTTTCCCACCCAGCAGGAGGAGTCCTCCCTGTCCATGGGCCCATCCATGCCTCACCCCATGACTCATACAGAGCTCCCCCCAGGAGCTATTTCTGTTTAATGGACCATCAAGGACCCACTGCATGACTCACAGACTGATATCAACCCATTGTGAGATGCTCCACCCAGGGGGAGGAGCCAAGTGCTCCCACCTGGATATAAACTGGGGTTCAGGACAGCACAGGGGGCCTTACCCACTGGATTTCCAGAGGACAAGAGCTACCAGATCTTTTTCTAGGACCCCACTGCTTCATCTGGACTGCTACACCCACCCTAACTACAGAGTATCAGGTTGTATTCTGACTCTGTCTGTGGTTTTCCTTTGTGTTATTGCTTTTATTTTTTTTTCTCATTAAATTGTGTTTCTGACTTGGAGTCTCTCACTGGTTTGTTTTCAAACCATTACAATCCTGCTTAAGGAGAATATCCTACAACAAACTAAAGCAGCCTCATTGCATTTTCTTTCTGCTGATTTCACCGTGTTTCCCTCTGACGGATCTCAAGTGGAAAGAACAAAGGGAAAGAAAAAACCAAAGACAAGCACAAATTTCACATGTGGAAAAGAACCACATCAGTGGGAGGGGGTTAAAGCATTTCCCCAAGCAGCCAGCACACCTGACACTGTCCAGCTGGAGCTGCACGTCCATGTGTCTCCCCGAGAGCTGCCCCAGCTCCTGCTCCTGCCGCTCCCGGAAGGCTCCGTACTCGCCCCGCAGAGCGGCCAGCTCCTTGTCTGCAGACTGCAGCACGATGCGCAGGTCCTGGACTTCACTCTGCAGGACTGACAGAAACCAGACAGGCATTTCACAGCTTACTGGGCAACTGTGCTAGGCACCATGGAATGCTTGGGACTGGAAGGGACCTGGAGAATGTGACCCTAACGTAACATCATGGGAAAGCTTCACAGAACTTTACACTTCTTCAGTGCAATTAACCCTGAAGGTCACAAATGAAAAGGATTTGAAGATGGAAAAGGTCAATGAAACTGATTTTAGGAACTGAAGAGTGCAGGCTGATCAAAACTACTCCAGACAGTACCACTGCATTTCATAGACAGAGGATTCCCCCTTGAGTTAATATTTTCTTTTTAAAATACTCTATCCTGTACTCCCTGAAGAGTAAGGAGAGGACAATTTTGGAAACTGTACTATGCAAGACTGGGCAGCAAAAAGCTATTCTGCAAGCAGGAGAGGTTTTTCTTTAAAAAAATGATTAAAAAAATCAAACCAGTATGACTAACAACCCAAATAGTTACTCAGCATGTGCAGTTGAGTCAAAACATTAAGACACCTCAAAGCTTCATGTGGAATTCCAGTGTTACACAGACTTACTATCAGCCTTGCTTTGGCTGTCCTGACATTGCTTCTCAAGGGACTTTATCTGTTCCAGGAGCTCCTGGCGCTCTTTACTCCAGTCATTCCTTTCAGATGACAGAAGCTGGAGAAGTAAAAATTGTAAATGGAAGGAAATGTAGGAGTGGCCAAGCCACAGAGCTGAAACAATCATCTAATAATGTATTAGAGAACTTCATCAACTGATTATAAACACGAGACTTATTTTTCTTTAAATTCAATGTTTGGTGAATCTAAATCCCAAGATCCAACAAAAAAAAAACCTTGATTCTGAAAAATTCATTTAAAGGCAACCTATAGCTTAGAAGGTGAGATGCACTCAGAACAGAGCCTGATCTGGGAAGCAAACAGCCCTTATTTCCTTTTCTGTGGTAAAGTGATTAAGGAAGATGTGTAAATATTTTATAGATTAAGGATGTTTCAGTTCAGTTCCAGCTTAGGCTAGTAGTATTTTCAGCATTCCAAAGTTTAACATTTCCTTGTTAATACTGTTGTCTTCCAGAAATGAAAGTGGCCAAAACTAACAAATATATAAGTATATATATGTTTACAACAACAGCAAACCTCAAAGCTGTCATGTTATGGTCAATGAAGGCCTTGTCTTCCTACAGAGCCCTGAGCTAGGCTGCTACATAAGTTTTCCAAAAAAATCAAAACCCAAGTCACACTGCAGACCTCAGCAGATGACACAGTGGCACCAGTGTGGTGGATGCCACCTTGTCATATGTACACAGGCACATCCAGCCCTGTGTTAGTGTCCTCTCACCTCCTGGACCTGTGCAGAGTGATGCTCCAGTTTACTCATCTGCTGCTGGAGTTTCATGTTCTTGCTTTCCTCCTCATCCAGCTTGGTCTGTGTTGTGCTCAGTTGCTCCTGTGACACAAGACACTCCAAATTAGAGCACCCATCTCCCAGTTATTCTCACATGCCATATGGCAGTCTGTGCATATGAAATATAAAACCACCAACCACTTTCTTTTTCTATAACCTGAACCAAAAGAAAAACAAAACATTTAAGAATAAATTGGTATCTTCAGTAGCTGATTTCTCCTGTTGCTAACTAAACTGCCAGAACACAAGAAAATCCAGGGGACACAAGGACTGAATCCAATAAACACTTCGCTTCAGACACATTTATCTTGGAGAAATAAGGCTTTAAAAAGAAGTTATTTAAAATATACACTAGCTAAATTCTTTCCAGCATCTCTGTGCTATAGTAATCACCAAAGAGGGGGTTTGGCTGTTGTGCCAGGTATTTTACATGCACTGAAGTTAGTTCCAGCTGCTAGAGAGCAAGTCTGTAGGACTCTGTGACAAAAGACCCTCCTTTAGGAAAGGTATAAGGCAGTTCAGGTGTAATGGTGGACAAGTGTTATTTGGCAGATTTCTTCAAATAATTCAGTATTCTCTATTAAGTGTGGGTATTGTTCCAAATGTAGCTGTCAGGGACTTACAAAGAAGTTTCCTTGGAAACAAATTATCAGGTTAAAATAGTAAGAGTTTAAATGCCCTGTAAATCTCCAACTCCTTACCGAGTTCAACTCTCAAACCCCCTTCAATATTTTGTTATAAATCCTCTTCAGGTATGGTGCATGATTAGAGAACTGTTAGTGAAGCCTTAAGTATTCATCAGGTGCCTGTTTCCCACACAAGTACATTGAGCAAGGGGAAACTATTTCATGCCCAAACCCGCTTTTGTTCTGGATTTGCCCACCCATTTCAGGTGGTATCCAGGACGTTCACCTGTGTCACTTTGAGCTCCTCAGCAATGGCCTCACAGGCCTGCTCGTTCATCCCTGGGGGAAGTGGCTCTGCCAGGATGTCCTCCAGCATCTCCTCAGCACGCTGGAAGTCGTCGGCAGGGCGGTTGGAGGTGGCGGGGCTCACCCGCGGCACCAGGCGGGACCTCAGCTGGTAAGCTTTGGTTGGGGTGGTTATGTTCTGGTGGGAATGAAGAAGGAAAGTGGCATTTAGACTTTGGTTCACAGCTCCATGAGCAGAATAATGATGTAAACCCCTTGGAGTGGTGAGTTCTGACTGCATTGTTTTGGGTCACCCGCTGCCAGCAGCAGCCGTGCAGTATTTCAGAACAAAGGAAGTGCTCCTGGTTGGTCACCTGCACCAGTTAGGGTAGGATCAGCCAAATCAAAGTCTGTGCTCTTGCACAGCTCAGGGGCAAGGACGTGGCCTTTTAATTAAGCTCTCCCATACCTTGAGAGTTTCTCTGTGCAGCTTGTGTAACTGAGAGACTTCCTGGCGCTTGTGTGCCTTGGTTGCCTCCAGGATGTTCTCGAGGTGGTGGTTTGCCTTCCGAAGGGACTGGAGCTCTGATTCCAGCTCCATGTGCTTCTTCCTGCTCAGGGAGCACGTTGCCACTGTCAAACCCTCTCCCTCAGCAAGAACAAGCTGCAGCACTGCCAGCGAGCAAACTGAAGCTGAACTCTTGCCCAAACATTAAAATGCATTATTCTGAGAAGAAAGGCAACACTACTGTATTAAAAAGTAATAAAAAAAAATAAAAATATTAAACAGCTAAGCAGCTTATTTGTGCCTGCATAATGAAGCAAGCAGATGGATAACCAAACGTGTCAGAAAAAATCCATTACACGGTAAGAAATAAGCTGAGAGCTCTGCAGTTCCTTTCATGAGCAAGTGATATCACCCATACCAATATGGGTTTAAGCTTTAAAAATGTTATCCAGTTATATGAGAAGTCTGAACTGGTGCTTGCCAGGATTAAAGAAAATCCTTTAAAGATGTTTTTTTTTGGAAGTGCTGCTCTGTTAAGATTATTTTGCCCTCTAAGAGTACTTTAACTGAAATCCAACAGTTGAGCAGAAATTTGGGAATTATTTTCATTAGGTATGTTGCAGAGCTACACGCTGTTGCTGTGATAGTTGGCCTTAGTGACATAATTGTAGGGTCAAAGTCTACACACAAAAGGAATTAAAATATTTAATCTTTTGGCAGTTGAATGCTATTACTTTCTCTCATGATTTTAGTATATGGAACCAAAAAAAACCCCAAATAACCTGCTTACAGACCAGAGTACAACTTTAGTTCTGATTGCTACTGGACAACAGAAAGATTACTGTACATTGATTTTTCTGAAACTTAAAATTTACTCTGCTTAAGTTACATCACAGTTACACTTGCATGGAAACTGAAGCATCTAGTTAGTTTGGAACTGGAAAGAAGTTGAAAATCTAGTGAAATCCAGAGGCTGAAAAGCACACTTCTGTTTGAGTGCACTCTGCTAGGCAAATGTCAGCAACTGCTAAGAAAAAAGCATGTGTGCTGTCCAGAGAGCAAGATGTGCCCAAAACACACAATACATCACATAGGAAATACAAGAACAAAACCAGATTTGTACAATTCCCTGAATGAGCACAAAGGACATCACAAAGCTACTTTGCAAAAAAAGAACTCCAAACAACCTGATAGGAGGCAAAAATGGAAGTATATTGTGCCCAGTGCTTCTAGAATCACACTCACTGAAATCAAATAAAAAAGCAACAAGCAAAAATGAAGTTTAAAAAACACAATCAGGTCCTTTTTGCCTTCCTTTAAAGGTCCCTTCCAACCCAAAGCACTCTGATTCCTTCTAGAACCACACTCACTGAAATCAAATAAAGCAACAAGCAAAAATGAAATTTAAAAACACAATCAGGTCCTTTTTGCCTTCCTTTAAAGGTCCCTTCCAACCCAAAGCACTCTGATTCCACCTCTACACTATGCTTTCTGGAAATGCAGTTATGTTTCTTGTATCTCCTGTAACAGGACCTGAATTTTTCAGAAATGGGGTTGATAAAGTGAAGCAATATTATATATAGTTATATGCAAGTGAATAATATCTATCTCAAAGGTATTCCTCAGGTCTTTGGCATTACCTCGTGCTGCCCTCAAGGAGCACAAGAAATTATTTTGCAAGGAACCTCCTTAGACTGTATTTTCAGGACTTAAGACTAATTTTTAAAAATCAATGTATGTAACTAAAGACATTGAAAGAAAAGTCACTGTTTTGTCTCACTTGGTTAGCTCCTTAAACTCCTCGTATTCTTGTTTGGAACTTGCCAGCTCACTCTGAGTCTGCAGCAGACGTGCTTTCAGCCTCTCAACAGAGGCCAGGGAGTTGCCTTCCACTGAGACAGTGGTGGGATGTAAATGGTGACCTGAAGAACAAACATGCACCCTTTGAAATCATGAGGTAGCTCAAAAAGCTTCATTTGTACTAAAATGAAAGCGTTTGGAGGCTTTGGAACAGCATAGCAGCAACTGAGATTGAAGGAAATGGGTATTGCCAGCAACAGTCCACAGGAAAACTAGGAGATGAATTAATATTACTGCAGTCTGCATGACAACCAAGGACAACACAGTGAGACTACAGATACTGAACACGAGATGTACAAGACTCCAAAGTCCCTATTGCTGTGTTTGGTTGGAGGCCACTGTGAATAAAATGAAGTAAAATGAAGCTAAAAAGAAGTTTTATCACCCTTCAGGCCCCACTCTGAAGAAGGGAGAACCACACCAAGACAGACAACGTTTGTGTGCAGTGTAATGTTGAAAGAGAAATGCAGTTGAGCTTATGGAGCTGAAAAACATTAGCAGATTTTCACCTCCAACGTTCTTCTCTGTGGCTGAAGCTTCCAAAAAAGCTTTTTCCAGCTCTGCGATGGTCTGTGCATCAATTTCTTGAGCCTTCTTCACTGACTTTAAGGAACGAAGCTTCTTATTCTCCTCTCTGAGGTTATGGTTCTCCATGGCATACTTTGCAATTCGTGGGTGGTGTTCCATCTGTGAACAGCAGTAATTTATCAACACTTGATTTTGCAGCCAGTGCCATACAGATCTAGCTGTGGCTCTGCTACTTTCAGCAAGCATTAAATTGTAATGAAGAGGGGGAAAAAAAAAAAAGATATTCCCTACAGTGATTAAAACCACACCCAGTTTTCTTCTTAGTTTTCTTACTCCCTTGGAATCTGCTCTCAAAAACCAGTGGGTTTACACTTTATATTTACTCTTTTCCTGGGAATAAAGCGACAGAAGCTTTTCTTGCTGCTCTTCACATCTCTCTTCAGCTTCAACTCTGAGCTCTGGCTTTCTTAATGCTGTCTCTGCACATCATAGTAATGTCTCTGTAGTCCCTTAATAAATGTCCTGACTTCTGTACTTTCCCCCATTCACTTTGGAGCTCAGTTATGCAGGGAGGGAAGGCCTAAGCATGTGAGATGCTTCTATAAAGGAACTCACCACCTATCCTCTTCTTTCCTGCCTGTCTTTCCTAAAAAGCCTGAATCCACCCATCACATGAGCTGTTCTCACCAAAATTGTTCTGGAAAGAAAAAAAACAAAGCCTTACCTGTTCCCTGAGCATCTGCAATTCCTGCCTCAATTCACTGAGGAGATCATCTTGCTCTTTTGGCAGTAAGCTCCCCCCAGCCTCTCTGTGCAGCCTCTCCAAGCGCACGATGTGATCCTCACGGAATTTGACTATCATCTTATTGGACTGAATAAACTTCTCCTTCTTGGCACACAGATCTTCTAGTTGAGCAATTTTTTCCAATAAATTCTTAAAAAGCACATACAGATTAGTGGAAAAGTGACAGTTAACACCATCTGCTCCTCACAAGACTTGTGCTCTAGGCCCTTGCCCAGCTTTGTTGCCCTTCTCTGGCTACACTCCAGCCCCTCAAGGTCCTTCTGGGAGTGAGGGGCCCAAAACTGACCCCAGGATTTGAGGTGCAGCCTCCCCAGTGCCCAGTCCAGGGGGACTATCCCTGCCCTGGTCCTGCTGGCCACATAAGTGCTGATCCAAGCCAGGATGCTGGTGGCCTTCTTAGCTTTGGACAGAGTATTTTTATTCAACACTAAAATAAAACTACGAAGAGAGTCAGTATCAGTTGGCTCACTGCTCTCTCACCAGGAAGTACACTGAATGCATTTAGAAATATTAGTGCTTTCTTACCTTCTTTTCACCTTCTGATTTCTCCCAGAACAACATTGCTTCAAGAAAATTGTTCATGTAATTTATATTGTTCTTCCCATTTTCAACAGCACCTGTGGGGGAGTCAAAGAAACAAGTGCCCTATTTATTAAAATACTAGTTAACCAGGTTTCTCTACATGCATCACATGACAGTGGTGTAAAGCAAATTTAAGGAAATTCTTTGAACAGTAGAATTTCTCTGCAAAGATCATGTGCCAAACTCAGAGCAAAGAAGTTCAGACAGTAATTCCTAGTCACCTGCAAGTGCTGATAAAGAACAGAGTCAATGCACATAATTGTATCATTAACAAAGTTGTCCAAGCATTAAATGGCTTTACGATGAACTTTTATTAAACTAAAAGAATCAATCTGTTCAGCTGAGTGTATCTACAAAATGCAAAACCCCTCTGAAATTAATTTGATAAGATTAAGCCCTATTTGCATTATTACTGTGGTTTGTATATGTTAAAAGTGGACTAAGTGGTTTATGAGAAGGAGATTCGGGAAAATAAGCATGAATTAGAGTGGACAATTAGTGATTTAATCTGGAAGAAAAGTTTCCACACAAGGGATTAAAAGGGTTTAGCTAATCCCCTTCAGAAATTAATTCAAAATAGCTTTCCTGAATATCCTTAAGCAGGCAAGATTATTTACTTATAGAATATTAATCACCACAGTATCTAGGTCCATAACAACAGCCCTATTGTAATTTAATGTGGTAAAAAATGCCATCTTTCTTTAAAAGTAGCTGGCAAGCAGATTTCATGTGTGTG